GGACGGCCCGCTGGGGGTGACGGAAAAGTGACACTGCTGCGAACCATAAGGTAAAATATGAATTTTCAAAGCTTATTTTAAAATATTTTCGAGCCCTGCTGAAAACCCCTATCTCTAAATCGAATAAACATACATACATTGTCAATTACTTAGTGGCTTAGTACACTGAGAAAATTTATTCCTGCCGTGCACTAGACGATTGTTTAGTGCGTCCTACTTTGTACCTGGCACAAAAAATTTAGTTCCCGCCACTAAAATTACTGTGCGTGGCAAGAAAATTTTAAAGCTCGGCAACATAACTTTGGTGCCCAGTCACAACTGTATAGTGCGTCAAAAACGTTCGGTCTCGGGGCAAAATGTTTAACGTGCTCAGGACCTAAAAAGATTCTCAGTGTAGAGGAAAATTTTGACGTTTCCCACTTGCAAGTAAAACTTTCATTCGCACAGCTCGTGTATAACGCAATCAAGGAGGGGAAGAGTCGAGGGAAGAGTTGTGGCGGAAAATGTTGATTGCCGTCGACCTCCGCTCCTGCAATAAGGGGCGCTGTAGGGGGAGCCGTTGTCTCGGTACACTTGTTTCGTCGTCATTTCAATCCTAACCCTCTTAGGGGCCTAAACGACGTTTATGACCCCCGGCCCAATCTTGGGGCGTATCGGTTACTCGCGTGCCGGCTATCGCCCCCGGCCGCGCCCCCGCGCGCCCCCACCCGCGGCTCCCCCAACCGGAATACCCATTAAGCTCAACACCTTCCCGCTCCACCACCACCACCATCATCATCATCATGCACTTCACTGTCGTCATTGCGCACGTCGCGGAGACGCGTCTTGCACGAGTGGAAACGCGCTGTTATGCATCAACGAACACTTGTGACGCGTTGTGCACAATGGGTAAAAGTGCACGTTACGCTGAAAAATGGTCGCGAAGATATTAATTATTCCAGTGTCATGTTTTTCGATTGTTGTATTTCAACCAAGTAGTTCACATTGCAAAGAAACTCAAGGCAAGCTGGCAAATGGTATGTGTGTATTGAAATGAATAGTTTGTAAGCTTGCGAAGAACACGTTCGCATTACAAAAATGCTTCAAAATTCTCCGCAATGGCGGCAAAAGAAATGGTTTTGCGCAATACAAACTTATTCTTTTGACCCATTTGGCAGTGTATGCAAGCACAAAAACCGAAGCAGCTTTCGACTGTGCGACTGCAGACTTTTGACTAAAGAGCCTTCAATATTATGCAACATGAAACTTTTCGTACAAAAATATGAATGCATGGGCGTGGAAGTGTGCAGCGTGTATCTTAACAAAGAGAAGAATTTAAAAAAATAAAAATGTGGAAAAATAGATTGCACTTTTGTTTTGAAGTTTTATATTTAGTCCTTAAAAAGGCAGGAACAGAAAGCATTGGCATTACAGCAGCATGGCCCGAGGGCCCGAGGAGCGAAGGGAGGGAGGTGGGAAGGGAGGAGGGAAGGGAGGAGGGAAGGGAGGGCAGGCCGATGACAATCATCGACTTGCAGCCGTGCCACGCCACGCCGCACCATGCGGGCATTGGCAAATACTAGGGCTAGGGGAAGGCCGATGGAGCCCGCTGACCCCACTGGCTTTCGGGGAGGGCGAGAGCGAGGGAGGGGGTGAGGGGGGCTAGAGGTAGAGCGAAACAGCCTAGAGACTCGTCCCCGCCGACCGACCACGATCTGGAAAGTGGGTAAGGCCGTGAGGAAAAGACGGGTATAAACGGTCATTTGATCAGACTCAGTCAAAGGAACTAAATACACCCGAAAAAAATCATCCAGAAACGGAGCCATTATTACACGCGGAATAAGGAACACTATGGGAAAACGAAGGTAGGTCAAGCATATTTGTACATTTCAGGAACTTCAATCGTAGGATAAATAAGTATAACATAATAATTATATAGCAATAAAAATATCGGTGTGCCAAAGATAAAATGAAACACATGCCGAGGCAGGCATGTAGCCAGACACTATTCTGTCGCACGTCTTTATGCGTTTTTCCCTGCTCGCATGTCGTGCAGACACACCCCCCCCGTAGGAGCAGTGTGGCGTGCTGCGGAGACGCTTGTTCCTCTTACGCATTGTGACACGTCTCCCGAAGTGAATCCCGAGGAGGAGGGGGAGAGGGAAGTGCAGCGCCGACCGCGGGAACAGAGACAGGTGGCGCGTGTCTCGGGGCGGGGCGG